TCTGTCTCAAAAAAAAGAAAAAGAAAAAGAAAAAAAATTATAGCTGTGAACTAGCATAAGGCATTTAATATTAAGGAAGGAGACCACTACTACTACTGCTGCCCTCCTCCCCCCACCTTGCCTAGTTCACAAGACAGGAGGAAAGAGAGGAAGAAACAAAAGTAAGATAAATAGCCAGATAACCTTGGCACCACCACTCGGTCCTAGGAGTTAAACAAAGTAATAATAATAACATCAACCCCTGGCCTAAACTACTTGTGTTATCTGTAAATTCCAGACACTGTAAGAAAAAAGCATAGTAAAACTTTCTGTTCTGTTAGCTGATGCATGTAGCCCCCAGTCACGTTTCCCACGCTTGCTTGACCCTTTCACGTGGACCCCTTAAAGTTGTAAGCCTTTTAAAAGGCCAAGTATTTCTTTTTTGAGGAGCTCGGCTCTTAAGACGCAAGTCTGCCGACGCTCCCGGCCGAATAAAAAACCTCTTCCTTCTTTAATTCGGCGTCTGAGGAGTTTTGTCTGCGGCTCGTCCTGCTACAATATCCTATCTAGTAGACTCCAAAAGCAGCTGAGATGAAGAGGGGATAAAAATCTCAAGAACAAACTATGAGGTTTAAGAGTCATTGTAGCTATCCAAATCTGAGGTGTCCTCCTGATTTTCCTTAACTGACGGCTTCAGTGTGCAACTCGTCAATAGAGGGGAATTTGGCACTCTCGAAAATAGCAAAATATTAATATCAAGCAAGCGAGAAGCTGTATTCTGCACGCTAGAAGATCCTTCACTAATACCTGCAAACCAATGATCACCTGTAACATTTTAAAATCCTAAAACTAAGCATTCCTCCATGGCACCCGATCCTCTAGAATTCCACGGGGAAAGCAATCTTCGTGGTTTAAAAGTGAAGGCGGAGGCACGCTCCCGGCTCAGGCGGACTTTCCAGGCTGCTGGGTGGGTTACTCCACGCGACAGCGACAGCCAAACGGCAGGTTCCCGGAGCAGCAGCAGCAGCTCATCAGGCTGGAAGCAAAGCCCCCTTCTCTTTCTCATGCCCCTCTGGGGTCGGTGGGCCTCCACTGTCCGCCACCGCGGCTTCCGCCCGCACCTGCCCCGCTCCCAGCATGGGATGCGGTAGGCCCCGCCCCCCCCCGGCAGACCACCCCCCCGCCTGCCCCAACCCCCCCCCGGCGGGCCAGGCCCCGCCCCGTCAGAGCCCGTCCCGCCCACTCCACGGCCCAGTCAGCCGCTGCAGCGCGCGCCCTTCCCCTCCTCGCCGCTACCTGCTCCGGTTCCGGCGCTCGGCCGCTCCGTTGCCCTCGGGCGCCTTGGTTGCGGCCCTCCGCTGAGGCGCCATCGGGCCAGGCCGCCGCAGAGCCGAGCCAGACGCGGGCGCCAGGCCCGGGGACGAACGCCGTGACAGGGAGCGCGAGGCGGGCGCGGCGCAGGGACGCGGGAGCGACTCGCTCGGCCATCGGCCCCTGGGCTGGCGGCCAGGCCCGAGCAATCGGCGGCCGATCTGGGCGGGGCTCAGAGCGGAGGCGGCGGCCGCGGGGGCGAGGTCCGCCTGGTTGCGCCCCGGACCTCGCGGGACCGCGGCGGCGCAGGTGAGGTGCGGGTGCAGCTCTGGCTCCGCGCGCTCGGCCGGGCGGCTGCCGGCTGGAAGCGTTTCCCCCGGTGCCTGTACCTGGAGAGGGACGGCCGGGCTCCCGAGCGGCGCCTCCCAGCGTGGCTGTCCCGCAGCGGCACCGAGCCTGGGGGTGAATATTGTGGGTAACTGGTCGTAGGCGAAACTGAAAGTGCTTGGTGTCCGTGTGCACCACCGGCCTGCCCTGCTCTGTTACAGAGTCCTTAGGGTCAGAAGCCTCCGAACCCTTGCACGGAACCAGGGGTTGGATTATTGAACTGAATCTGTCTCACATGCAAAGCTTTCCTTTCCTCTTCTCACCCGATCCTTTGTGCTTTCATAGTAGATAGGAAAAATAAATAAATAAATATATAAATAAGTTTTACCCTTCCCCAGCTGCTTCGTTATCCTTTGGATGCCACTTTTATTCAATATAATACTACGGTCAGCTCTGATGCACTTGGGGGCCTTTAAAAAATTATTAGCTTACCTTAAATCCTAGACAGTTTTCTCCAACCTGGAGTCAGTTTTGCAGTTTCTTCCTCTTTATAATCAAGCTGATCTGAGCTCTAGAAATACAAATTAGTTTTAATATTACCTAAAATTAGGATAAATTTCCTACAGAAGCACCATATTGTGCGGCTTGATAAGAAAATGTTTAGAGGCTTCTGCCCGACTTTTCACTAGCATAGTACATCTAGTTTAACAAGGTCTTTAAAACGAAGTTGTTTTGCAGTTACTTGTGTTATTATAGATCATAACCATCTTATAAACAAAGTGGGTGGCTTGGCCGGGCACGGTGGCTCACGCCTGTAATCCCAGCACTTTGGGAGGCTGAGGCAGGTGGATCATGAGGTCAGCAATTTGAGACCAGCCTGGCCAACATGGTGAAACCCCGTCTCTACTAAAAATACAAAAACTAGCCAGGCATGGTGGTGGGCACCTGTAACCCCAGCTACTCCACAGGCTGAGTGCTGTTTTGTTTTAGCAGCAAATCACACATAGCAGAGGTCTCTATATCTTAACATGGAGGAAGACTTCTGGTTCATTTTCATGTTAGCAAAATGCGTTTCCTCTGAGTTAATCAAAACTGGCTAAGATCAGAACTGAAACAAAGTATAAGGGGAAAGGCAAAGGGAGAAGCCTCTGCCCCTGTTGATAACTCTCGATTTTCTCCACTAGGAAGAAGTCCCCGAGGAGACTTCCCCATAGGAGTTCACAGAAAATATTGAAATGTCAGGTTCCACGCCATTTAAGATGAGATTAGTTCATTTAGACCTTAAAGGAGCTCCACCAAAGGTCTCATACCTCTCAGAGGTAAGGACTCCCTTTCACCTCTAGAGCATCACTTTTTGCCTTGTCTTCATTCTTTAAAGTTTTGAGCAGTGTTCTGTGGAAATCGGTGCCTAGAACACAACCGCAAGGTTCTTGGTGGAGGAAGATGGTGGCAGCGGCATTGATTTTGAATTTCCCCCATAGCCTCTCACAAAAACGGAACAACCAGGATGACAAAAAAAAAAAAAAAAGAGGACAAAAGAAACTCACAGCTTCTTTCTTGTGGGTGGAAGTGTGTCTTTCCAAAAAGATGTGTTCAAGTCTTAACCCTTGGGACCTGTGAATGAGACTTTATTTGGAAATAGGATCTTTGCAGATGTAATCAAAATAAGATGAAGTTGTACTAGAATATGGTGAACCCTAATCCAGTGATTGGCATCCTTACGAGGAGAGGGAAATTTAGAAGCTGAGACACACACGGAGGGAAGGCAGTGTGAAGACCCAGGAGGACGCCCCACAGTGCTGGCAGCCAAGAAGGTCATGATGCGCCATGAACCCCGAGATGCCAGGGATAGTTGACGATCACCAGAAGCTATTGAGAAGCAAGGAAGGGTCCTCCTCTGCAGCCTTCAGGGAGAGCTGGGTCTGCTGACACCTCGATTTTGGATTTAGGGTCTTCAGAACTGTGAGAAAATAGATTTCTATTGTCGAAAACCACCCAGTTAGTTTTTGTTTTTGTTTTGAGACAGAGTCTCGCTTTGTTGCCCAGGCTGGAGTACAGTGGTGCAGTCTTGGCTCACTGCAACCTCCACCTCCCGGGTTCAAGCAATTCTCCTGCCTCAGCCTCTGCAGTAGCTGGGGTTACAAGCGCCCGCCACCATGCCTGGCTAATTTTTGTATTTTTAGTAGAGACGGGGTTTCACCATGTTGGCGAGGGTGGTCTCAAACTGCTGACCTCATGATCCACCCGCCTCAGCTTCCCAAAGTACTGGGGTTACAGGCGTGAGCCACCGTGCCCGGCCAAGCCACCCAGTTTATGGTCATTTATTACAGCAGCCCTAGAAAACGAAGACACTCTTCAACAAAACTAGGTATCAGGGTGTCCCCACGGATCCCAAACTACAAGTGGGTGGGGCCAAATCACAGACAGAATAACACCTGTATGGGGTTAGCAGCCAAGCAGGAGGTAACAGAGAAAAGAGGGAAACTCCGACGGTGCTAAGACCAGAGGACCCAGAAAATAGCCTCAAAAGTAAATAAAGGTCTCCCATAGGGAGAAGCGGGGCAGAGTTTTAATGGCTCCCGTCTGAGACTGAGTGCAAAGAGACTTAAAGGAGGGTGTACGGGAGGCCCGAGGCTGCAAGACTCAGAAATACCTAATGAAACTTCCTTCCAGAGGAACAGCGCCCCCCGCTAAGGATAAAACGGGGCAAGAATCCACTTTGAACTGGGCAGGAACAGCGAAGGGAAAGGGGAATGCTCAGGTCCTGGGGAAAGGCGTCCAGAAGAGGCGGAATTTAAAAAAATGCTGCAGAAGTAGCTACACAGAGCCTGCAGTTTCTAATACCGCATGGCAGCAGTAGAGGAGGGGGCCTTGAGGCTGGCCTGTCAGCATTGCAAACACAAGAGCCTGTTCTTAAAAATGAGCGACAGGCTGGCCATGGTGGCTCACGTCTGTAATCCAGGCACTTTGGGAGGCCAAGACAGACAGATCACCTGAGGTCAGGAGCTTGTGACCAGCCTGGGAAACATGGAGAAACCCCATCTCTACTAAGAATACAAAAATTAGTGAGGCATGGTGATACGTCTATAGTCCCAGCTACTTGGGAGTCTGAAGCAGTAGAATTGCTTGAACTCAGGAGGCAGAGGTTGCAGTGAGCTGAGATTGTGCCACTGCACTCCAACCGAGGTGACAGAGCAAGACACCATCTCAAAAAAAGAAGGAAAAAAAAAAAGAAAAAGCAGGAAAGAGTGTTAACATCATACAAAGATAGGTAAGAAAAAGGAAGGCCGGGCATGGTGGTTCACGTCTGTAATCCCAGCACTTTGGGAGGCCAAGGAGAGTGGATCACAAGGTCAGGAGATCAAGACCATCCTGGCTAACACAGTGAAACCCTGTCTCTACTAGAAATACAAAAAATTAGCCCGATGTGGTGGTAGGCGCCTGTAGTCCCAGCTACTTGGGAGGCTGAGGCAGGAGAATCATTTGAACCTGGGAGGTGGAGGTTGCAGTGAGCCGAGATTGTGCCACTGTGCTCCAGCCTGGGTGACAAGAGTGAGACTCCGTCTCAACAAAAAAAGAAAAAAGATGATCTGAACAGCATTGCAGCAGTGAAGGTGCTCCAGACACACACGCCCACCCAGCAGGAAACACTGTTCCATAATATTTCATAATGAGATAAAAGATGCTCAGAAGATGACAGAAGCTGTGAAAGAACAGCATAAATCAGAAATAGAAAAGCCCAGGCCAGGCTCAGTGGCTCACGCCTGTCATCCCAGCACTTTGGGAGGCCAAGGCAAGTGGATCACTTGAGGTCAGGAATTCGAGACCAGCCTGGCCAACATGTGAAGCCCCGTCTCTACTAAAAATACAAAAATTAGCCAGGCGTGGTGGCAGGCGCCTGTAATCCTACCTACTTGGGAGGCTGAGGCACGAGAATCACCTGAATCTGAGTGGTAGAGGCTGCAGTGAGCCGAGATTGCACCACTGCACTCCAGCCTAGGCGATAGAGCAAGACTCAGTCTGAAAAGAAAGAGAGACAAGCCCAGAAATGTGGTAACTAAACAAAAGAAGGGTGTAAAAAATCGCCTGTGGAGCTCAGAAATGAATTCCGAAGAAAAATTTTTTTAATAAAGACTAAACTATAAGAAGTGTAAAAGTGAGTAGACACCATGGAAAGTGCAGTATTTGGAAACAGATGACAGAAAAGAAAAAAGCAAACACCGAGAGATGAAAAGGCATTCTGACAATTGAATATGGCAAAGAAGACTGAACTTACACACAGCTAATGAAAAGCCGTTCTGACTTGGGCTGGGTGCGGTGGGTCATGCCTGTAATCCCAGCACTTTGGGAGGCTGAGGCAGGTGGATCACGAGGTCAGGAGTTCAAGACCAGCCTGGACAACATGGTGAAACCCCGTCTCTACTAAAAATACAAAAATTAACTGGGTGTCGGGGCAGGCACCTGTAGTCCCAGCTACTCGGGAGGCTGAGGCAGGAGAATCACTTGAACCCGAGAGGCGGAGGTCACAATGAGCCGAGATCGCACCATTGCACTCCAGCCTGGGTGACAGAGTGAGACTCCATCTCAAAAAAAAAAAAAAATAGAGAAGGAAGTGGGGAGAAGAACAAGGGGGAAGAGACAGCCTTCCCTTTTTCTGAGTACAGCCCAGAAACAAATGAGTTCTGCACCTCTCTCTCACCTCCCCCAGGTGCTGACCCCAACCCTTCAGAGCCCTGCTCCCCCTGTCCCAGCTCCTCCTGCCCAGTCCCCCATGCCTTGCCATTCTCCTTCAGCCTGGCTGCCCTGTCCCCTGTGCCTTGCCAGTGCCTCTCAGCCTGGCTGCCCTGCTGGGCCCTTGTACGTGAAGAGCTGCTTCTCAGTGGCTCCCTGCTGGCCGGGGCCATCCCTCCCAAGCTGAGCCACCAGCACTAACCTGTTGAGTAGCAGCCCTGTTTCATAGCATGTCTCCCCTGCTGTGCAAAATAGTCACTGGAACGGGGAGTTTCATTTGGCATAACATAAAGTACACATTCCGGATTTAAGGTTCCCGGGAAAAATAGGAATAGCAACTCCCACAGTCTCCACAGGCTGAAAGGGAAAGCGTCTCCCTGCTGTGGACGTGCCACGTCGTGCTCCAGCGGCCACTTCTTCCTAACCTCTCCCTGTTTACCCCCCAGATTTTTCCTCTGTTTCGTGGGCTAGGTGCAAACGGCCTCCTCATTGAGTATGAAGACATGTTTCCCTACGAGGGCTCTCTGAGGCTGCTGAGGGCCAAGTACGCCTACAGGTAACACCGCCTACAGGTACCACCGCCCATGGCAGGGACGGGCGCGGCGGGGAAGGGGGGGTTCCGCAGGGCGGGAGGAGCAGCAACCTGGAGGTGCAGGTGGAACAGTCAGGAAATGAACAGTGGTGGGTACATTCCTTTTTTGTCTTTTTAAATTCATCTCTTTAATTGTAAAAAATAATCATAAAATGAAAACAAAGTTTCATTTCAAACAGTCACTGGAGAGAATTTTGAAACATTTAAAGGGAAAGTAAGCATCAGCAGCGCCCCCTACAGGGAAAAGCTGTATTTCCTGTCTCTGTCCTGCAGACGTTTCCTGTTGACGGGAAGGCCTGGAGAAGGCTGGGCTAGAGAGGGCTAGAGAGGGCTAGAGAAGGCTAGAGAAGGCCTCTGCATGGGGAGAGGCTGCTCTTCAGGCCACAGTTGAGCCTTGAGTTAGAGAAGTGAAGAATTAAAGGGGAGAAAATCAAAATCAATAAAATCAGGTGTGGTGGAGATGGGAGGCCCCTGCTCAGCGTTAAAATCACAGGTCTCTGTGAAAATCAGTGACAGCCCCAAAGATAAATGTGCAACGGACACTAACTGGCCAATCCCAAAGGAAGAAACAAAAAAAGCCAATAAGCGTATAAGAAAATGTTAAGGCCAGGCGCGGTGGCTCATGCCTGTAATCCCAGCACTTTGGGAGGCCAAGGTGGTCAGATCACTTGAGCTCAGGAGTTCGAGACCAGCCTGGCCCACATGGTGAAACCCCCTCTCTACATAAAATACAAAAATTAGGCTGGGTGCGGTGGCTCATGCCTGTAATCCCAGCACTTTGGGAGGCTGAGGTGGGTGGATCACTTGAGCTCAGGAGTTCGAGACCAGCCTGGGCAACACGGTGAAGCCCCATCTCTACATAAAATACAGACATGAGCCACGGATAATGGCATGGGCCTGTAGTCCAAGCTACTCGGGAGGCTGAGATAGGAGGATGACTTGAGCCTGGTGTTAGGTTTTTTAAAGGGAAGGCGAGGGTTAAAGAAAGAGAGGGCGGCTCTACAGCAACACAGGTATGTTGCAGAAACCTACAGAGGTGGGGGACCAGCTTGATGCCAGAGTGCACCGCCGCTGACAGGCTGGGCACTTACAGCCTGGACGGGAGGGGCTGGGCAGTAGGGCTTGCTGCCGGGAAGATGTTGAGAGACGTTCCCATGGTGAGGCAGTTGGGTCCTTGTTCCCGGCAGAATCTGATCGGGATGTTCCTTCAGTTGGGCCTTGGCCCAACAAGGTGTGGTCAGGATGATCCTTCACCCCAGCAAGGTGTGGTCCGGATGTTCCCGGGCCGTGTGGTTGGTCAGGTGGTTGGGATGTTCCCAGACCGTGTGGTCAGGTGGTAGGGATGTTCCTGGGCCATGTGGTCAGGTGGTCAGGACGGTCCCGGGCCGTGTGGTCAGGTGGTCAGGATGTTCCCGGCCGTGTGGTCAGGATGTTCCCATGCCATGTGATCAGGTGGTCAGGATGTTCCCGGCCGTGTGGTCAGGTGTTCGGGATGTTCCTGGGCCGTGTGGTCAGGATGTTCCCATGCCATGTGATCAGGTGGTCAGGATGTTCCTGGCCGTGTGGTCAGGATGTTCCCGGCCGTGTGGTCAGGTGGTCAGGTGGTCAGGATGTTCCCATGCCATGTGATCAGGTGGTCAGGATGTTCCCGGCCGTGTGGTCAGGTGTTCGGGATGTTCCTGGGCCGTGTGGTCAGGATGTTCCCATGCCATGTGATCAGGTGGTCAGGATGTTCCTGGCCGTGTGGTCAGGATGTTCCCGGCCGTGTGGTCAGGTGGTCAGGATGTTCCCATGCCATGTGATCAGGTGGTCAGGATGTTCCTGGCCGTGTGGTCAGGATGTTCCCGGCCGTGTGGTCAGGTGGTCGGGATGTTCCTGGGCCGTGTGGTCAGGATGTTCCCGGCCGTGTGGTCAGGTGGTCAGGATGTTCCCGGCCGTGTGGTCAGGATGTTGGGCAGGATCTTGGGCAGGCCGAAGCCCTGTGGAATGTTTCACTTCAGCCTGGGTCTGGAAAATGGCAGGGGGCTTACAAAATGGTGCAGTTTGGATTAACACCTGGGAGCCAGAGGCTGCAGTGAGCTGATACTGCACCACTGCACTCCAGTCTGGGCAATGGAGCCAGAGTTTGTCTCAAATAAAAAGAAAAAAAAAAAACGGAAAGAAAGAAAGAAAATGTTAAACCCTCATAGTACTCAAATCAAAGAAACTAAATCAACAATGCAACACCATCCTGGCTACCAAACTGGTAAGGCTTTTAAAAAAATTGTAAGACTCGGGCTGGGCGTGGTGGCTTATGCCTATAATCCCAGCACTTTGGGAGGCTGAGGCAGGTGGATCGAGACCAGCCTGACCAACCTGGCAAAATCCTGTCTCTACCAAAAAAATACAAAAATTAGCCAGGCGTGGCCAGGTGCAGTGGCTCACGCCTGTAATCCCAGCACTTTGGGAGGCCAAGGCAGGCGGATCATGCGGTCAGGAGATCGAAATCATCCTGGCCAACATAGGTGAAATCCCGTCTCTACGAAAAATATAAAAAATTAACTGGGCATGGTGGCAGGCGCTTGTAGTCCCATCTAGTCTTGCTCCTGGTCTCCAAAGGCCTGGGAGTGCAGTGGTGCGATCTCGGCTCACGCAAATTCTGCCTTCTGGGTCAAGTGATTCTCCTGGCCTCGGCCCTCCACGAGTAGCTGGGATTACAGGTGCGTGCCTCCAGGCCCACTAATTTTTTGTATTTTTAGTAGATACGAGGGTTTCACCATG